TTCCTTTGGTGGCATGATATATATCTTTCACTTGGCATATGGTTGACTTAGAGGAATGCAGTGATGTCAAATCCTGTGGCCCACATATAGCAGAGGACATAGTTGAGGTAGAGGAGGAAGCCTAAATTCAAAAAGGTTCATTGAGACATTATCCAGCAGAAAATGTTTTTGAGAAGCCTTGTTACCATAGAAAAACCTGTCCTGTGTTTTGTGCTTTAAAATTATGTAGTATCCTGCTTTTCCTCCATACATTCAAAGTAACAACAAAACACTCCCCTTGCCTTGTGAGTGTCAATATTATCTGACAGCTCTTCCATAATTTAAAAAATATTTTTAGTTGTTAATGAATTTCCTATTTATCCATATATGGTGCTGAGAATTGAACCCAGGGCCTCACACATGCTAGACAAGCTCTGTAACACTACTCTACAACTCCAGCCCTTCTTCCATTATTTGCAGGAAAGTTTTGCACATTTCTAGAGACCTCTAGGTCCACCCATTGTAATACATTACTATCATAAGTCAGTTTATCTAATCTTATTTGTACATTTTTTCACTAAAATTTCCTTATCAGTGTTCTTTCTGATATGTGTAATGGATTTTCTGTGAAATTATCTGCCATGGAATGAATGTCAAGTTGGATAAAGACTGCTGTTTTGAGAGATGGTGTAACTTTTATTTGAGTTAGAGGATTTGTAAAATAATACATCTGTGGATATTTACAATTTGATTGTTTTTTTTTCTTTTTTTTATTGTGTACAGTAGGTTCCATGTTATAGACTGGGTTTCCTCATATCAGTTAATTGCTTCACAAACTAAGATATGTATGATTCTTGTTTGTATTGCCGAAAATATTATATGTGCTTTTGCTTGTATAAATAGTAAGCCTCTTTTGTCCATGACTTTTGTATTTTATCTTGATTGGCTTTTCATTCTGCCCATGTACATAGAAATTGAAGTTTTCTATGTGTAATTGTAATGGAGATTGATGGCAGTGATACTCTCATGCTGAACTACACCCCAAGCTCCTTTTCACTCATATTTGGAGAGAGGTTCTCACTAAGTTATTGAGGATGTCTTGAATTTGCAATTCTCCTGCCTCAGACTTCCTAGTAGCTGAGATTACATGCATGCTCATCATTTGTATATTGATGAGCTTGTTCTTATTTAAAGGATAAAGACCACATTATTTTAAATGTAGCTTTGAGAAATGTTGCAATTCTCTTTATCTTTTAATTTTCATTGTAATCAAAACCACAAATTAAAACTTACTGTCTCCAAAATTTTAAATATACAGTTCCGTAACATTAATTCAAATTGTTATGCAATATATCTCTACAAAGTTTACATCTCAAAAAAAAAAAAAAACAACAAAAAAAAACACACAATGCCTAGGAAGCAAGGGCTCATTTCTGTCTCCTCATCACAAAACCATTCTCTTTTGTTCAGAAAGCTTCTTTTTTAGTTTAGAGATGTCATGTTCATAGAATTCTGCAGTATTCTTTCTGTGACATTTCAGTTAACCTAGTGTACATACATTTTGTAAAATATATAATCAGAATAAATTCTTTGACTTCAAAGATCTATAGTTTCTATATTCCAATATGGCTCATCATTCTTTTCAAGGGATATTTGGTTTGCGTCCCCCATGATGGCTCTGTTGAATAACAATGTAACAACACTGGTGTGCAATGTTTTTAATTTGCTATTGATGTGAGGGCTTATTGCCACACTCACTAAGAACTCCATCTACCTGACTCCATGTTTGCATTTACAATTGAATGCTGTAACTTTTAGTATATTTTTTTAGCAGGTAAATAGTCTTATTTGTATTTTGGGGGATATTCATACAATTTAAAGGATAGATTTCTCTGCAAAAACATTTTTTTAACAATGGGAGATTGATGAATATTACATGGAGCCTCTAGTTAACTTTAAGTAGTATAAACATCTTTAAATTTAATCTTTCAATTTTGAACAACAGCATGCCCAAGAGTGCTCAATCAACTGACACATATTTAGGGATTTTTGAAAATCCCTACCACTTTTGACTTCAAATATTTATTCCATGTTGGTTACAATATAACTATCACTTAAATATTTATAACCTTTGTTTTAATATATAAAATTGCTCTAACCAGCATAATATCCCACTTGTGATTAAGAACAGGGATTCTATAAGTCTATAGTAGTTTCAAAATATTTTCAAAGTCTTATGCTTTGCAATTACCATTTTGCTTCACTGTATTTCCCTTTTCAGTAAGTGGGGATTTATGTTTCTTAGTATGACAGTGATTCTTTGTTTTCATACAACTCTCTCAGTGTTTTCTTTGTGTGTTTGGGAAGTATGAAGTACATAGCGAATGTATTTACTCTTAATTCAGAACCTAGGGAAAGGGCCCTTTTCTCTCTTTTGCCTCTTTTCAAAGTTTTAATTTAATTTAAAATGTCTTCTATGTCATATAACTGTCTTAAACTATGTTTTGTGTACTATAATTTAGACAGCCCAGGTTTTGTTCGATCACTTTTGTATGTGTCATTCTTATATCCTTTTGCTTTCAGTATGTGTGTGTTCTTAGATTTAGAGTATCCTGTAGACTACCTACAGTTGCAATATTTAGAGTTAATTCAGATATCCAAGTTTTGTTTTGATCAGAATTTTGTAATCTTGCATTTGCCAACAAAAAACTCAAAAAATGAAGAATCTCCTACTCATACTTTGTATGAGTATCAACTTGACTTCACTTTATTAAAAAACTGAATATATTTATGTGTCCTTTTAAAATTATATTATTGTTACAGGTATATATGCCTATTAACAGTATTGCTGTTATGCTTTTTTCTTTCAAATTCTATTGCAAAATTACATGTTTGGAGGCCCATCATTACAATAAAATAGAATTGTTTTTGCCAAGAAATGTTTAAAATTTCCTGAGACTTATGATGTTGTGCACTTACATTTTATTATGAAGGATTACCTTTAGTATTTTTGGAGAACAGATCCAGTGTTGATGAATAGTGTGTGTATTTTTATATGTTTAAAGTCTTCATTTTCCTTCTCTTTTGAAAGGTAGTAGCTGTGAATATAATGTCTTGGTTGATAATTTTATTCTTTCATCCCTTGAATATAGATAGACTTGAATTCCTTCCTGTGTTGTGAAGATTTGACTAAGGATTTCACAATTATATAGTTACACATTTCTAGGTGACCCATCTTTTTCTCTTGGATGCTCTCAGTATTCTGAGTTTTAAAACTTGGATTAAAACCTACTTTGAGTCTTTACAACTTGGAGAAAACTGAGCTGCTTGGATGTTTCATTTTTCCTATTTTCTGAGATGTGTTTATTAGTACTGGAAAGAGAACTTAAGAGCGATTTAGCACTTTGCATTTTTTACTTTGTCTGGTCTTCATATTTTGATCCTCTAGCTCAACCTCCTATGTTGCTATGTACAACCACCCCTGACTCTTTCAGACATTTTCTAAAGAAAGTCTTTAAACATACATTTTCTGCTTATTACTATTAACAATTCTTGACTAATTTTTATTCTGTTTTTTTGTGTGTTGGTTTAGTTCAGTAAACTTCTTTTAAATGATAATTGATTATTCCCTTTGAGTAATTCATAACTTTGCTTACAGTTGATTTAGCCATGTTTTTTTCTGTTGGCAAGCAGGAACCCCTTTTTGAACAGTCCCAAAATATTCACATGTTTCATATTTTTATTTTTTACTGAAACAGAAGAAAGTTGGTAGATTTTGAAAATATATTCTGAAGGAGGAAAATCTTTGTGTAACACAATGTATTTTTCTCTACTATATTACTCTCCATAGTAATGTACTCATCTTGGATACTGTGAACACAAAGATGATTAGGAAAATTTTCAAAGTAATTTTCTGTATGTATTTTTATTTGATTTATATATTTCTACAGTAATGATGGACTTGGATTTAATAATCCACTCTTCTGCTGATGTTATTTTTTGCTGTAATTTCTTAGGTTTGCAAAATATACGCATCCCAGTAAAGTAAGTAAACATGTTTGTTATTTTTATTTATTACAGCCATGACTTCTCATCATCCTCGAGAAATTTTACCAGAGCAGGGAATAAAAGAGAGAGAGGGAAGATATGGAAAGTGTGACTTTGACTATTTACAACCAAGAAAACAATGGGAAAATATAGGTGAGAGTAAAGTTCAAAAATTGTATTATAATAGACAAAATCAATCAGTACTCCCTATTTATGATAAAAATTTTATGGTCAAAAGACACCAGAGACAATTAATATCTGAAATGAAAATTCAATGTATTCCAATTATTTTGAGGAGTTTTATGTCTTTAAGAATAAATCCACAGCCATTTTTGAATTGAAAGGCAATGTGGAAAATTTGAAATCTAGTCCATGCATCAGTTTTTAACTTGGCCAATTATAAAAGTAGCACTGAGTTAAAATTCCAGTCAAACATTTGCACAGAAAAGATATTTCTAAAAGTGATCCTTTGGGGAGTTTCTTTATAAAATGTCCATTTTTCTGAAACAAAAGATTAATTTCTCCTTGTGCCCAAATGGACAATATTAAGAATTGTAGAAAAGTTTCTACTTCCCCACTATTGCTCAATGACAGTTCTGATACAGATTTCTGGAAAGTGCACTATATAGATAATGCTATAAGTAACACAGTAAGCCATGTCTCTACCCTGAGTAATGACCAGTATATTTACATTGGTGATAAAAATTATGAATATAGAGAAATCCTAGTCCTTTTCTAAAGGAAATTTACCAAGATGAGAAATGTAGGAAAGTCTTGCTTCAGTGATCAAAAACTAGTATTCATTAAAATATTCATAGACAAGACAAAACCTGCAAGTGTAAGATATGTGAAAGGGCTCTTAACCACAGTGCAGAGCTTGCTTAATACAAGAAAATTTATAGAGAAAGAGAGCCCTATAAGTATAGAAGATATTGAGCAAGCAAATGCTTTGATATATTTTTTAAACACAGCAGATACTATGACAGTGATAAATTCTACAAATTTAAAGAATGTGGAAAAACTTTTAGTGAAAAGTTACAACTTGTGAAGTATCAGAGGATTTATACTGAAGGAAAGACCTGTAAATGTAAAAAGTGTGGGAAAGCCTTTAAAAATTTTTCAACTCTTACTCAACACCAAAAATTTTATTCTACAGAGAAGACCTACCAATGTGAAGAATGCAATGCACTCAAGAACTTTACTCAACATCACAGTGTTCATACAGGAGATATGCCATGCAAATGCAAAGAATGTGACAAAACTTCTAATAAAAGCTCAAATCTTATTTGTCACCAGTGGACACACCCTGGAGTGATGCCCTACATATGTAAACAATTTTGCAAAGGTTTCAGTCAAAAACCAAGCCTTAAAAATTACCAGAGAATTCATACTGGAAAGAAGCCCTTCAAATGTAAAGTATGTGGCAAAAGTTTTAATAGAAATTCACATCTTGATTGCCACAATAGGATTCATACTGGAGAGAAGCCCTACAAATGTAAATTGTGTGGCAAGAGTTTCAGTCAAAAATCATCACTTATTCAGCACCAGCGAATCCACACTGGAGAGAAGCCCTACAAATGTAAAGTGTGTGGCAAGAGTTTTAATCACACATCATCACTTACTCAGCACCAGCGAATTCACACTGGAGAGAAGCCCTACAGCTGTGAAGAATGTGGCAAAGCTTTTAATAGCATCTCACAGCGTAATTGGCACAAAAGTATTCATACTGGAGAGAAGCCCTACAAATGTATAGAGTGTGGCAAAAGTTTTAATACAAACTCACATCTCTATTACCACAACAGGATTCATACTGGAGAGAAGCCCTACAAATGTACAGTGTGTGGCAAGAGTTTCAGTCAAAAATCATCAGTTACTCAGCACCAGCGAATCCACACTGGAGAGAAGCCCTACAAATGTAAAGAATGTGGCAAAAGTTTTAATCAAAAAGTAATACTTACTCAGCACCTGAGAATCCACACTGGAGAAAAGCCCTACAAATGTACATGTGGCAAAAGTTTCAGTCAAAAATCATCACTTACTCATCACCAGCGAATCCACACTGGAGAGAAGCCCTACAAGTGTAAAGAGTGTGGCAAAGCTTTTAATAGCATCTCACAGCTTAATTGTCACAAAAGGATTCATACTGGAGAGAAGCCCTACAAATGTAAAATGTGTGGCAAGAGTTTTAATCACATATCATCACTTACTCAGCACCAGCGAATTCACACTGGAGAGAAGCCCTACAAATGTAGAGAATGTGGCAAAGCTTTTAATCAACAATCATCACTTACTCGACACCAGAGAACCCATACTAGAGAGAAGTCCTATAAATGTGAAGAATGGCAAAGCTTTTAATATTGAAGATCACATCTTACTAAACATTATAGATTTTATACTGGAGAGAAGTTTTACAATGAAAACATTGCATCAGTGTCTTTAAGGATGAATCAACCCTATTTCACAGTAGTTCAACACTATTTCACACCAGAGATATGATAGCACAGAAATCATATAAATGTAAAATAGGTGACAGAGTCTCCAATAGTTGTTCACACCCTACTCAGCACCTCAGAATTCATACGAGTGAGAGGACGTGCGGAAAAATTTTTGCAAAGCTTTTGGCCATTGATCAAATATTTTTAAAACACTGGAGGATTTACAGCATATAGAAACCCAAACAATGTGTCCAAGACTGTATTCAAATTTCTGACATTTTTAAATTTCTGACCTGATATCTGTAGCAAATGTGGAGTAGCATTTGTCCAAAGTGTGTACCTTAGATAACAGCAAAATATTTACAAAAACACCTTGACAAATATAAAGATGGTAGTAAGTTTCTTATCTATATCCCATCCCTTGAAGTATTTGGGACCTAGGAGGGAAAAAAAACATTTAAATGTAGAAAATGGGTAATTGCTTTTGACATTTGCTGAAAATTTTCTTAACATCTTTAGCTGATATTGTAGAAATAAGGAAATACAAGTATAGAATTGTGCATCCCTAAAAGGATATAATTTTAGTATAAATCAACAATTACTAAAGAGTCTCATTTTTCACAACTGGAGAAATAATAATACTCAGAGTTGATTATTTCAGAAGTCTCTTAAGATTTATATGAAATTTAAAATTTAAATTTTTAAGAGCCTCTTAAACTTAGGGACACTTAATCAGTAAACCACATCCTCGGATTTTTTTTCTTTTTTATTTAGAGATAGGTTTTGCTAAATTGTATAGGGCCTCACTAAGTTATGGAGCCTGACTTTGAACTTGCAAAGCTTCTCACATCCCTAGGGTCACAGCATGGTCCACCATGCCCATTTTACAGAGCATTTTTACTTATATTTCATTACAGATGCAATTTGTTACTAAATAAAGTGAATTTCTTAATGTAAACCTTGTCATGCATTTAATGATGTTATTAGGTCACACATCTCCCACTATTCACTTTGCTAATGGATCAATGCAATAGTAAAACATTCTATTGGGTAAATAATGCTATAATGTCTTCATTAATTATTTCATATGTTTAATCAAGTATTATTTGGAGAATATTATTTATGTAAATTATATACTCTCTTGTTTGTAATTATGGGAAAATTAAGAGAGTTATAGGAAGGACCTATGGATACTAAAATAATGACCAGATATCCCTAGTTTGAATTCTGAGTTTAACATTTCACCTTATAGAGTAGCAGTACACCCTAATGGATCTACAACTCCGGAGAGTTATACAAGCTCCCAATCAGGGAGAGGAGAAAGACCCAAGATACTAGGAGCCATCGTGCGTATTCAGGCAATAAAGGAGGTTTGCTGAAGGGGGAAAGAGTCTTAATGTTTCCTGGGGAATCCACATGGTCCATAGGCCCATCCTGACTCTTGGATTGAAGAAACCATGCAGTTCCTCATGAATTCTATGACGTTCATCTCTGAGGTGACTATACTCCCCTCTAGTGTAGGAAAAACATCACAATTTGGGACCACCTCTTTAGTTTTGGATACCCAGTATGAAAGTGTAACTAGAAACATGTAAAATGATGACTGTAAAAAGAAAAAGACATACTGTAGGAGCATTTATGCCTCCACATTTTTTATTTCATTATATATTTTGATTTTGGTTCTTTGATTTTGGTATATATTTTGAACATTTGGTTCTACTTAATAGTTTACAATATAATGTTTGTTATACTTATTGGATTATATGATAGATAGCATGTGTCATTGTCTCCCAGACCCCTCTGCAACCCAGTAATTTTAAGATACTATAAACTAACCATGTCCCTCCTCAGATCTTAAAGCTCCAAGAGCCCATGACACCACAGAGAGAGAAACACAATTTGGATTGAAATAAACCTCTAGACTCTCATCTACAAGTCCTGTTCAAAAAGTAAAAACACAATATTCTCTTCATATGTGAGCCTTTTGGGTCAACAAAACACCACCCACCAACATTTCATTCAACTTTATTTGGGAAAATAAATATTGAAATATGATGATAAGTTCTAGGAGAATAATATTCACACCATTCTTTATTCCAAAGGGTAAATATCTAGGTTTCATGCTTATCTCCACATTATTTTATGCAGAAAACTGGCTTCATTTTACATATGAGAGTTTAAACTATTTACAAGGCCAGGAGGGAAGATTCAGACCTAGAGGTCTAAGGAAAATACTAAAGATCTTCCCTTTTCTTGATTGAATGATGTCTGCAATCCTTGATGAAACAGATAAAGAATGCTGATTTCTCAATGCATCTGGCTGGGTGGCTCACTCATTGGAATCCCAATTTATTTAGTCATATCAAGGCTATCACTCCCTCCTCTAGGATCTGACCTGTTCTTGGGAGGACTTGGTGTTCTTCAGGGGATCACCAGGTCATGCAAGATGTTAGAATGAAGTTTTCTTTGTTCTAACTTGTATTTATTAGGCCTCACTTTCAGTACAAGGTAGAACAAGACTTCAGACTCTCACCTGTGGAGAGGATGCTCTGCCCAGGACTTCCCAGTCAGGACCCTGAAAAGCTCTTTGGGACTCCCCAGTACATAGTTTCAGTGTGGGGGTTTTCCTAGTCTGGCAATACAGTTGCCTGTGTCTTTCACTTTTGCTTTCTCTCTTGCTTTCATAGTATTAAGGAAACACTGTCTGGTGTGAAGAGAGTGTCTTCCTTATCTATTGGATCTGACCTGTGAAGTTGAGCAGCGCCCACATACTGAATGTCACAAACACATGTATGTTTTATCTAATCAGTAAGTAGTGTGTCTTTCAACTGCATGATTTTTTATTTCATGGGGGAGGAAATTGAGAATGCTTTCTTTGAGTGCCCACAGCACTATTCATAGTATTCATAACACTGCTATGTAATGTTTCCTCTCTGCTCAACTTGTAAGTATTGTTCTTGTGCTGCTTTGTAAAACAAATAGAAAAGAGTTGTAAACCAAAATTTTGTGATTATAGCTAGTTGCGCAGACTGACTTGGGCAACTCTATTTACCATTCTTGTTTTGTATGGGCTCAAGGTACTCTTTTATACTCTTATTTAACCTTAATTACATTACCATTCATTGAAGAGTTTTAACTCACAAACCTTCTCGGTATACAAATTTTCCCTTGTCATTTTTAAAATTTCTTACTCTTTTTAGGTATACATGATAGTAGAGCAAATTTTGACATATTATACATGGAGTAAAACTCATTTTAGTTAGCATTCCATTCTTGAGGTGTACATGGTGTGGACCTTCCCTAGTGGTGTATTTATATATTAACATTGAAAAGTTGTGTCTGATTCATTCTACTGTCATTTGTATTCCTATTTCCCTTTTCTTCCCTTCAATCCAACTTTGTCTAATCCACTGAATTTCTATTCTCTCCCCCCTCCCTTGTTGAGTGCTTTAACATCTATATATATTATGTATTATATGTAATGTCTGTTTCATTCTACTATCATTCCTATCCCCATATTCCCTACCCTCCCTGCACTCCTCTCTACTTAATCTAAATAACTATTCTTCCCCACCCCCATTGTGAATTAGCATACACTTATCGGAGAGAACATTTGGCCTTTGTGTTTGTGTGTGTGTGTGTGTATGAGTGTGTGTGGGGGGGCTTATTTCACTTAGCATGATATTCTCCAACTCTATACTTTTACCACCAAATGGCATAGTTTCATTCATTTTTAAAGCTAAGTAATATTCCATTGGTGGAGGAAATTATATATATATATATCACATTTTATTTATCCATTCATCTGTTGAAGGAAACATAGGTTGGTTCTATGGTTTATCTATTGTGAATTGTGCTGCTATAAACATTGGTGCGGCTGTGTCCCTGTAGTATGCTGTTTTTAATTCCTTTAGGTATAGTCCGAATAGAGGGATAGCTGGGTCAAATGATGTTTCCATTCTGGTTTTTCAAGGCGTCTCCATACTGCTTTCCATGGTGGTTGCACAAATTTGGAGTCAATCTCATGAGCAATGTGTGAGTTTTCCTTTTCCCCCACAACCTCACCAACATTTATTGTTGCCTGTATTATTAATGATTGCCATTCTGACTGAAGTGAAATCAAATCTTAAAGTAATTTTGATTTACATTTTCCTAATTGCTAGATAGGTGGAATATTTTTTCATATATTTGTTAATGGATTATATTTCTTCTGTGAAGTTGTCTGTTCAGTTACTGGTTCCATTTGTTAATTGGTTTTTGTTGTTGTTGTTTGTGTTAATTTTGAGTTCTTTATATACCCTAGACATTAGTGCTTTTTCTGAATTATGTGTGGTAAAGATTTGTATAAAATCTGTAGGTTCTTTCTTCACATTATTGTTTCTTTTGCTGAGAAGCAGCTTCTTAGTTTGAATCTATCCCCTTTATTTATTCTTGATTTTTAATTTTTGTGCTGTAGGGGTCTTGTTATGGAAGTCAGATTGTGGACCAACATTCACCTCAGATTTTTAAATGGTATCCTAAGTTCATGAAAGTTTCAGTTTTATTGTTTCTCTTACTATCTTGCCTTATAGATCTACATGTTCTAAAGAGTCATGAAATGATCTAGCTTCACATACATGATTTTCTGATGACTATTATTTTTCAATATGTAGCTGCAGATTATTTAAAATATATATCTACTATTTCAGACTTTAACCAAAGCACATACATATCTTGTGTAGGAAATATTCCATCAATAGATCAACATCAAATCTATAATATATATAAATATATATAAAAGCCTGGATTCAAATGCATGCACATCCAACCCAGAACTTGACCCATAACACTTATTCTATACTAGTTCTACACTTTAGAACCTCCATGAAAGCTGTTATAAATCCAAAGCCTGAGACTCACTCCCCAGACATTCTTCTTTTTTGGGGGGGTATGATGACGAAGATTGAACTCAGGGGCACTCAACCACTGAGCCACATCCCTATCCCTATTTAATGTGGAGACAGGATCTCACTGATCTGCTTAGTAGATTCATTTTTACTTAGGCTGGCTCTGAACTCATGACCCTCCTTCCTCAGCCTTCCAAGCTGCTGAGATTACAGGCAAATACCACCATGCCCAGCTCCCCAGAGAGCCTTCTTTACCTGGTTGGAACCCACTTGTTCAGTATGTTTTGGC